ATTTATAGCAAGATAAATGCACTTTCAGCTCTACTTGCACAGAGTGGCAAATGCATTCTTTGGGTAGCCTAAGTAATCTGAAATATATCTTATCTGGGAAACCTCAAAGGATCTATTTATTCAAGAAGTTAGGAAAATTTAAGGGATGTATACTTACAGCCTGGATTTCAGAATATACAACTGCTGCTTGCACATTTTAAGAGGACTGTTAATTTCGTTTAATTAAATAGAATGTTTTAAACATCATAAGCTATGTTTTCGCAGAGTTTATAGGAAAGATATCAGGCTGTACTAGAAATTTATGTAAGAACTTGAAAAGTACATTCAAGAAGAAAATCCAAACAGATTAATGCTTTTATGTAACTGAAAAAAAAAAAATGCAAATAGTGACAGAAATGAAAAGTGAGTTGAACTTTTCAGTGGTCTGAAGTTAAATTCCAGACTTTATGGCTTCACAGTGTGTGGGTGTTCAACAAGTGTTTTGGGCTTTTTAAAGCAGCTTTAGGATTTATTTTTTTATATTCATTGCAAACTATTCTGCTCACACATTCACTGTTTTTTAAAGTATTTTTACATGGCAATTTAACATGATTCCTAAGACATACTTACAAGAGGCATCTTTAAGAAAGATATCTGTCTGTAAACTAACTATCTCTTTGGGTATAATCTTTTTCTAGGAGTGTATATATACAGCTTGCTGTTTTTAAGGCTTTTCATGAGAATTCAAGTGGGATTTATTCCTTCATAGACTTCCTTGGTTAGCATATGTGACGGAACTCATGTCTAACCACTAGTAGATTTTATGTTGGGTAACCTTTGCAGCATTGCATGTTAACTCTTGACAGATAAAATTATTTATTCACTATTGACTTATCTTTGAAGGATGATTTACTTTGTCACTATTGAGTCATCTCCATGCTATGTTGAGACAGCAGTCTCTCTCCGGATCATCTTGTGGCATGCAGCTATTGCCCTGATGCAGAGTTGCAGAGGTCTGCAGGAGGAATGTGCAGGAGAAAAGGGACAAAGACAAATGCTGGCTGAATCTGTTCTGAGGACGGCAATCACTGGTGTCCGCAAGAAGGGTTTCACGTTTGTAGATCTTGCTTGCTCCTGTTCACAGGACAGCTTTGCAGGGCATAGTAGGGGTGTGGGGAGATGAGGGCTAAGTATTTAGCCATTTATTCTTTCTCTCTTTCTGCTCATAGGATTGTGTTATTTCGCTACACTAAAAAATCCAGAATCCAGGATTGCTGTGACATTGCTCCTCCGTCTCGGTCACCTTCTCATATCAGCTTACTCTTTACTTAAAATATACGTGTTAGCCCAACCTTGCATATGTGTATGACTTGCAATAATACCTTGATTCATGCATAAGTTAATGAAAAGAGAATTTTGCTTTTTGTTCTGGAAATTTCTGCATAACCTCTGAGTAGCTTAAGAAGAAGCTAAGAAGAATCTAAATGTATCTGGCTCCTGTGACACTGCTTAGTTAGGTGTCAGGTAAAAGTAGACTTTGCCTTCTTTCCTCCCACCTATTTTCACTGTGCAGAAGATTGGTCTGTTAGGAAGGTCAAAGGAATTCTACAAATAACAATACTTAGAGTGCTAGTTTGTGAACATGAAACCCCAACCTTTTTGTTGGGTAACTTGCCTTAAACCTTTTTCTTAATAGTGCTTAAGTTTTCCTCTGCCTGAAATTACAAAGGCTAAGAATTTGTGGAGCTCTGATGATAGATTAGCCTGGCAGTCTGAATTTAATAAATCTTGCAGAGAAGCAGGAGACTAATAGCTAAGGTAAACTGCTTTGTGGTAACCTGCCTAGGTGGCTTCCAAACAAAATGAAGTGAGCTGTAGACTGAACTGCACAGTATTATGGAAGTGCAAATCATGGTTTTCCAAAGCCCCTGTTTTTCAATGTGAAACTGAGCAACCAAAATAATTCAGTAGAGGCATCACTCTCAGCACTCCTAAGGAATATTGAAGAACACAAAAATCAGATGTCCGGTATCAGGAATTCCAGACGTAGACACCTGCACTCTTTGTGCTGCCAATGGGGAGCTTAGGGGATTAGCCTTAAAGTGTACCTAAGTCAGTGTCCCAAAGTGAGAAATTATTATACTTCAAATAATGCTGAAGAAATGAGTGTCTACAGAGACCTACATCTCATAAGTGGAGGCTTCTGCAGAAGTGTTCAGAAAAAAAAGAAGATTAAGAAATGCTGCAAGATGCTGCTTAATGCTCCTGTTTTTGGATGTATCTGCTGAGATTTTCCATCTGCATGGAAGAAGGTGCAACTGTAGGCTGGGGAGGATCGAGGGTAAGAGGGTTGAATGCATAGAGTAAATTATACTCTGGAGCTAAAGGTGATAAGATCCTTGGAGCTGTAAGAAGATGTAATTAGATCCACAGTACAGCTAAACACATTTTACCCCTCCCCTCTACTGTCAAGCCCTCACATAAGGAATGACCCCTGGTGCCAGTAGCCAGAATGTCACAGTTCATAGATGGTGAGACTTTCAGGGGCTGTAGGGTTTCCCAGATGCTTTTAAGGATCACTGAACATGACTTTACTTCAAGATGAGGAAGTCCTATATAACAACCAATTTTACAAGTCCAAAGTTCAGTTGGGAGCTGTGCACACAAAGCAATACAGATACTGAATTCTTCACTGATACTGTATTAGCCTTGCATGAGAAGAGATTAGGATCAGGCTTTCTTTGCTGAAATGATTTGCCTGGTACCGCCAACTGGCAGTAACTAGGTCCTTCCAGCCAGGAAACTACCAAACAAGACATTTGTGTTATGAAGCCAACAAGTAATGCAAACATTGTGGGAAAATTACCATTAGCTTCAGAAAAACAGTTATGTGTCACCATTGCTGAAACTGAACCTCATGACTTCAGATGATCTGATATCTCTGGTTTCTGCAGCTGGTCTGGTATCTCTGAAGTGAACCTTAACTAAGTTTTAATTTGGTTCAAACCAGGAATGTAAATCAATGGAGTATGGGGTGATTCCTATTATACATTTATTGCTTTAGAATTCCACAAAATACTCCTCATTTCTTTACATTTTCTGAAAAATTTGTATTACAGCCCTTTCTCCTTTTTCACTTAATTCAATATTTTACTCTCAGTGGTCTTCCATTGAGTTCTTACTAGATCTCTATAGCTAAGGTCATGGATAGAGAGATGTTAGTAGATAATTATCTGTGGTGTGTTGATAATAAATTATTGTGGGCTCAGACTTCTTGGAAAGGCATTTAATGGGAGACTGAACCATTCTCACATGTCCTAAGTGAGCCTGCCAGGCGGCTTCACTAACTTGCATAAGCAAGAAAAATAAGAAAGCAGAAAAGTTTGGGTTACCTCTGGCTTGCAGGATTTCATCAGACTGGATGCCTTCAAAAAGAGGGAACTTGCCCAGGCACTTTTGGGGGCTACTTTTTTAGCCATGTTTTATGGAACCTCTTGAAATACTGGTTGTCTTGTAAAGCCAAGGGCTTCTCTAACCTGGATTAGGGTTTACTAGACTAGATTTATTTGCTGTTTCACACAGCAAAAACATTAATCAAGGCAGAAAAAATTAATGTTTAGAGTTTTCCCTTGTCCATTTTTTTCCTCTTTCCTTCCTTTATAGCTAGATGAAAAATAATTAATTAAAATTATAATAATATTTTAAATATAAAAAAACACTGAAGAAGCAGCATGGTATTAAGTGCAAATTAAAAATAATTTGTACTGGAATTGTAAGATATTCTAAGAACGCAAATGTTTTTAATCTGCTTTTTAAAATTACTTCCTGGTAAACATTTTTTTTTTGTCTCTATTTTTTTTCTCTCTGTCAGCTGTCAAAATAACTTATCTGTAAGCATTTGCTGGCTACTTCAACCTGATCAAGTATTTTTAATGGCAGTACATTTTTGCGCTGCCTGAAATGTGTCAAATATCAGCAAGTCTACCTGGAGACAGATCATTGCCTGATCTAAATGGCTATATATTTTAAACCTCAAGGATTTTGTACTGGTATTTCTACAGAGTAAAATTATTGTCTGTATTGAACTAAAATAATTTTTTTCCCATTCACTTCAATTAAGTCAGTATTTGTCAGATAAAGCCTCTTGAAATCTTTTTAAATACATATTTGCAGAGAATTCACCCATCTGCCATGTTTTCTTTTCCTGAGCTTACTGAACACAGTGTGGAACTTTTTGTTGGTAGAAATCATTGCAGTATTGCCTAGTGCATGAAGCCTTGCAGGATGTTCTCATCCCCTGGTGCACTGATCTGTTAAAGGATTCTGTCTTGTATTAAATGTCCCTTTTGTTTCAGTCCTGCAGTAATTCCTTGGCAATGAGTGATGGATTTACTTTTTTATAGACTGTGAACACATGTATATGCACTTGATCAGAGCTTTGCATTGGGATACAAGTGAGTATAGATGTAACATTGGTTTAAAAAATGTACCACAACAACTGGCATCTCTCTGAAAGAGCAGTATATTGTTATTAAATGACTGCATAATAAGAACGAATAGTAAAGAAATAACTAATATGGGGTGTAGGGTACTCTTAGGGGAATGGCTCTTGGCTTTTAGGAAAACCACACACTGCGGTGTCACCTCACCTGTTTATAGTAATCAGAAATATTAGACTATATCTAGGTAAGGAAGCAGTTCCTCATAGGGAAAATGTCAAGGAGATGCCTTTACTCTATATATTAATTTTAGGGAACTAGCAACAGTAAATAAATAAAATTTCAAAACTTATATCGGCTTTGGAAGGATAAAGAAGGCAGATGGGAAACTTGAATTCTCTTCCAGTGTGTCTTCAGTTTCTGTTTGAGGGCAATTTCATTATCTCATTTGTCGTGCTCTGTGGGAAAGGGAGTGTTGGGCAGTGGGTACAGCTTCACAGAGCACTGCTGTGCTTGTAGGACAAATGCCATAGCTTTATGATAACAGCTGTTGACAAACTATTCCACACCTGTTAATTACAGGTATTACAAACAGAGAGGAATTTGGGTGTTTGCTGTCATGAGGACATTACAGATGTTTTCTTCTGCGCAAACCTCTGCAGTTGGCTTCAGATCTTTGAGGATGTGGTTGTTTGTCAGCCTGTTCTGTCATCCTGAGACCTCTGGGTAAGAAGCCACTCAGCTGTCCCATTCAGTTTTTGGTTGTGGAATTTGGCAGCTCCATCAGCTGGTGTCACAGCAGCAGTGCCATTGCCAGCCTTCTAGTTCAATGCATCTGGCACTGACTCTGAAGGGACCGTGGGGAAAAAGTGTGCATGGCACAATATTTCCATCTGCTCATCTGACCACACTGGCTAATTAAGTAGTTTTGACTCCTCTGTCCTGAAATCTGTCTTCAAAGCTTTGTGCCCAAATTAGCCTTATGTAGAAAATGGTGTCTGTGTGTTTTATGCATATTTAAATATGTTTTAGGAAACCTGGCTTATTTTCTAATGATTTATAACTTATATTCGTCTTCTTCAAAAAAGAAATAAGGTGATATTTCCTCTAAATAACTGATATTTTGGAAAAGCCAAGACATTCTTCAAAATCTCTAATCTTGACCTCCTTTGCCAGCAGAGGAGCATTGCACAAAAGTTACACATTCTGCCTGTAGCAAAAATGCAGTCTTTAATTTTGAAACCATCTGATAGCATCTGCATTATAAACCTGGTAGGTTCACATGTAACACATTTCAGTGTGTTCAACATCAAGCTGGCTTTAAGTAGTGGTTTGGTGACCCCATAGCAAAATGACAATTATTTATTTCTGCGATACTTAGCACAAAACCTAAAAGCCTAGGAAACTGAGAAGAGAGATGACAAAACTAGGCAAAAAAACTCCAGAACCTATTAAAAAGATGAAAAAGATGATTCTTTGGTGGATAATGATTGTTCTATGTTATGTGTGTATATATATATGTGTGTGTGTCTATTTACTTAGAAGGGAATTAAAGGAACTTTGAGACGTCATCTGGCTCTTCTCCTGCTTGTTAGGATCCATTTCATCTAACATAATCCATTGCAGATGTGATTTTCTTTTTTCCTTTTGCATCACGTTTTCCTTAATAATTCTGATGATGAATCTACAAACTGAGACAACTCAATTCCAATGCCTCACTATCTGCATCATGGTGCTTGCTAATAGGAATATTGTCTGAAATATTATTTGCTAACATTACTGCATTTGAATCTCTGAGGATTGAAAACATCATTTTGTTCTTTGCTGTTGCCTTTTATGCATTTAAAAGCTGTTAAAATCAGTCCTTTGGACTTTGTTTCTTTGTGCTAAAGATCACTGATTCCTGCAATTTTGCCACATCAAGCTGGTTTCTGTGTACATAAATTCTCCCGTCTTTCTTCCTTGCCTCCCCTTGGGGAAGAATGCATTGCTTTCCTGAAGCATGGTGCCCAGAACTAGTTCATAATCTGCTACTTTCCATTCTGTATTTGTGAACCCATGTTTTCAGGGCCAAAAAGAGACTCCTGATTTGTCCTTAAGATCCTCAGTGTACCATCAGTGAAGGGTGGTGGTCATAGATCTGAGTTCAGCATATAGATTGGATTAACTTCTGCTTTTGGATTTTTGTTTTAATTTCCAGGTGAAGAGGAGTTTCTGGTCTATTGTGGAATGTATTTGGACTGATGCATTACTCTGACGAACATTGTGAGAGACATCAATGCACAGTGAAACAATAGAAAACTAGGGGAGTGCATGGAAGCTGATTTAACAGAAAGCTGTCAGTGCCTTTAACAAGAATAAATATTACTTTGCAATTGATTAAAAATAAGAGCTGTATATTTAAGATGGCAGGCATCTTTCCCTGTTTAAATGCTAACTAATCCAAACTTCAAACTTATTCAACTGCTGTACAGTTTCCATCTCTTTGTTCTAATTACAAATCGGAAGAGGGTGTGTTCCCTGGTGCTTATGACTTGTGTGCAGGGTAGGTTATCACACTTATTCTAAGGTCTGGTAACTTTTCAAGCTTTTAGGCCTGAATGCAGGAAGCCAATTAAGTGTTTGCTTAACTTCTACAGTGTTAGTTTAAAGCTGCCCTGTCTTAATCAGAGTCCTAATTACTAAAATGCTCCCATACCTGCATGAGAGCTTAGTCCTATCTGTTGACTGTTAATTATATTACATTTATTCTTGCATAAAAGCAGCTGTAGTTAAATGGAAAGCCTTAGCTCACGTGGTTCTCAGAATCACCCAGGCTTTTGGAGGATGAAGGTGCCTTTGTACAGTAACAAGGGAGAAGCTTAATGAACAGGTTCTTTGCACAAGGCATGTTCCCTTCAACTGGCTGGACATTGTGGTGTCTGTACGGTGGCAGATGCACAAGCTGGTGCTCGTTGGCATTGAAGTCGTCTCCTGAGAAACAGAATGGGGCCAAATGAACAGACTGCTTCAGCCTTCTGCTGAATGAATGCTCCTGAATGTTTGCCTTGTGTTTTTCTTACTCAGCTATTAGCAGCATCACTCCATCTCTTACCATGTCACGTGAGTGCACAACTTACGCTTTTGCTTGAGGAGGGCAAAAATCCATATGAATTCAAGAGCAGAGCAAGTGACCAACTCTTTTTACAGCTCTGGTGCTCTGTTCTGAAAGGGAGGTTGGACAAATATGTGCATTCAAAATATATTATAATTCTGACAGATTTTAATTTTTTTCCCAAGCTATAAACCAGGAGATTGGTTCTATCTCATGAGTATACTGGCAAATCTGTTACCTGGAAAGAGAATGGAAAAGTGTTTCCTCCAACTTTTTTTTTGCCAAACCACGCTACTTGTTTGTTTGTCCTTAATTCAGTTTAGTTTAATTTTGTATTGCAGTAATTGCATGGGCACATAGTATCTTCACACAAAGAGAGAGCCACCTTGCCATCATCTTCCAGCTTAGATTCTGGATCAGGTATGGAGAACCCGGCAAGGGTAAATGTTAAGACAGGTAGGATGATAAGGGAGAAAGAGTGAGGCAGAAGGCATCAGTGTATCATATATCATATAGATAATTTTTTTGCAGTGTAACCAGTGGTTGTGTTTAATCACTTAAAACCCTGATGTTTTGGCAGTTGAAACCTTTGCACTTAAAAGGCAAGACACTCCAAAGTCAGACAGTAGGATGGAGAAGTTAGAGTACATTTTCATGCTTCTTTTTCTATGTTTAATATTTAGTTTTGCACTAGAGTTGCAGAGCACATTTTCAAGATAAGATAAAAGATCCTCTTTTTAAGTACCCCATATCTATTGAGGACTTGAGATAAACTGCGCATACCACTTTTGGAAATCTAGTCATAAGTCAGAGCTGTAGTGTTTAAAACACTTGCCATAATCAAGCTTTTGTGTCTTTATAGCAGAATGAGGTTTTGATGGAGAGCTGGCTGTCCTAGAGCATGTGCCTGTTCAAATATGCCACATCTCTCACCTGGCTTCCAGTGGCCACTGTGGAGGAGTGTGCATCTCTTACAGGGTCTGTCTCTGATGTGTCAGCCTAAACAAACATCTTTGTGATGCTCTCGGGCATCTGAAATGGTACTACTCATCACATTCTATTCTATTCTATTATTATTATTGTTATTATTATCAGTCCTTCTCACTGCAGTGGTACAGACTGTACTGCTAACATCAGGCCATTTAGATATAAGGACCATGCATCTCTTACAGGAAGCCAAAGCATGCAGGATCATCTGTCAACGCCGCCTTTATCAGCCACACCCTCCCAGTTACATTAGCCTCCTCCACCCTGAAACAGGTAAGTTGGGTGACAGCGTTCCCAGGCCCCAGTCTGGAAGGAGTATCAGGGTGTGGTGTGGCCACTGGTTGGAGGCAGCGAGCTTGTAGGCTGGGACTGGGAGGGCAGAGCAGCCCAGCACTGGTACAGGAGCCCAGCAGCACCACTGATCCTGCAGGCAAAACAGAAAAAGCCAAACCTTTTTGGCTGGATCAGCACACTTGTCTTGCTGACTGTGTGGCTGCACACAGGCCTGTGTCCTGGGTGGGGGGAACGTGAGATCAGGAGCAGAGTGACAGTGGCTCACAGTCCAGAGGACTTAAACTGCATCCTGGACTGGGTGACAGCGTAAGATGATTTAAGCTTTATCTCACAGGGGCATGGTTTGCAATCAGAAATATATCCAGCTGACATTAATTGCTGTTTTGGTTATTTCCCAAGGTCAGGTACAGGGTTTTCTATGTGCCATTACTCTTCCTGAAAGGAGAGTTGTGCTATTCCAAAATGGCTATATGTAGTGGGAATATATAATTGAACCGACATGCTGCAGTATTCTAATCGGAATGTAAAACTGAGGAAAAAAGGCATAGGTTTTAATTGTTTTGGTCTGTGATTAGTTGCATTTGGACTCAAAATCTAGAACAACTGACCTTCTTAATCTGTCAGGGAGGATGATATAATTCAGGGATCTTAAATCAAGACCTCACCCTCCATACCTCAAAGCCTAATGACATTAAAACAGTGTGGAATATGTACTGTAATCCCCTTCAGGTCCAGGCATTTTGTGTTTATTGCCTACCTCATAATCCGGCTTTAATTGTAAAATATGGTAAATGCCTATTTGTGCTTTCCATTTTCTCACTAACCTTTTCTGCAGTTTTTAGAGGTTTTTTTTTCTGTTTTGTTTTTTTTTGTTTTTACAATGGGAGTGGAATACAGGTCAGATTATCTCTGGTTCATGTGTGTACTGAAACCATGAGCTTAAATTCAAAAACAGGGATGATGTTGTTGAAAGGCTTGTTAAAAGAAAGATAAGTAGCGTCCCCCACTGGGTACATTTTTGGATGACTGGAAGCAAGCAGATCATGTGGTTCACCTTGCACTCAGTGGTGGGTGTATGTGAAACACACATGACAAAGCAGGGCTGTTAGGGAGCTGCTGAGAGACTCCCAAACTTCATCTGTCTTCTGTGTGAATGGCAGAAGACAGCATCACCACCTACCCAGCCATACATGTGGGCATCCTACAGAAACACTGCCATGTGGACACATAAGCAATGTCATGGTCCAGAATGAAACTGGAGGCTTTGTAGGTGTGGGAAAAGGTGTTTTCTGGATTGCTCACATTGATTCAAGTGATATGTATGTCCCTGTCACCTATTCCTAATGTGCCT